AGTTCTGCAGGTTTGGAGGAGCTCGTTGTTTGGTTCTGCTGTGTTTAACCAGACCTGGCACCTCCAACCAGCAGTCCTGGCTTTCACTTGGACACTGCACTTTGAACAACAAGCTGAAAAACCAAAGGGTAAAATAGTATTTAAATGAATTCTGCATTTAAGTGACAAATCCCAGGGCCCAGTGGTATCCAGACTGGTACAAAGGAATACAAGGAGGTTCTGCCCCACGCTTGGCGTTTCTCACATGGGCAAACAGTCATCTGGGATTTCCTTCTCTCTGGGTGACCTTCAAGGTGACAAACCCTTTGTCTCCTCCTAGCAAAGAGTGTAGCAAGTGGCATTAGTTTTATTTAGTTACTGATGGCTGAAGCACAGTGTTAACTAGTTCTGGCAGCTGTGAACCAGCTGGGGTAAATGAAAACCGCAACAGGATTGAATTTATAAAGGTTCATGGGCTTCTTTGGGGCTTTTTTGAGACAGATGTTGTAGATGTCTTTACTTAGTTGAGTTCCACAACAGGATTTGAAAGATCAGGGTTTCTATAAGTTGTATATGAAAAAAAAAACAAAGAAGTGTGGAAATGTCCCAAGTAATGACAAAATTGCTTCATCATGCAAAATAATTTGTAAAATTGCTTTTTATACAATTTTCTTATAATCTTATGGTTTTATTAGAATTCACAGTGACTTTCCAAATCAAAAAAGAACCATTTATAAATTCCATATGCAATAAACCCCAAACATTATACGTTACACGCAGAATTGCAACAACAGACAACAAATAAAAAGGTTGGTGTCTCTATAGAGGCTGTGACTTTGCTTTAAAATCCTACCTAAGAGAGTTTGTTTTTTGGGTTTTTTGAAATTAAGTTGCAATGTATGGGACTCTCTAATTGCTGAGTGTGGGGTTATTTTCAGTCAACACGCAGGCTGAAACAGTCAGTCATTTAATTAGAGCTCTGACATTTATAAAGTTATTGTAGTATTGATTGGTGTTTACCTTTTAGCTTGGCTTCTTTTTTTTAATACTTCCATAGAGAACTGATTTTGATAAATGTGCTAGTCTTTTTTTAACTAATCCTGTTTTTGGATACATGGACCTCTATCAAAAGCTGTTCATCACAGAGCCATGGTACAGCTGCTGGAGACGATTGACAGAGGGCAGGGGAAAGAAATTCTCCCTGGCAGGGTGGGCAGGGGCTGTCCCAGGTGCCCAGAGCAGCTGGGGCTGCCCCTGGATCCCTGGCAGTGCCCAAGGCCAGGCTGGACACTGGGGCTGGGAGCACCTGGGACAGTGGGAGCTGTCCCTGCCATGGCAGGGGCTTGGAATGAGATAGGCTTTAAAATCCCTTCCACCTCAAACCGTTCTGTCGTTCTGGAATAAACAAAGAAAATCATGCTAGTAGATTGGACTGTTTTTCTATTTATTCCTCCCAAGATTGTGCAATGACCATTTAGGAACAGACATATCCCATGAAACAGAACACGTGCTTAATTTCTGGCACGGATCTTTAAATATGGGAACATTAGCCTAAGTACTAGAAGAGATGAGATGATCACTCAAGTAGTTCTGCCCATATCTTCCTTATAATCTCCTGATCAGTGCAACTATCAGGCAAACATTTGTGGGCCTTCAGGAGTATCAACAAAGTGAAATTAAAGCCCTCCTCAGAGTATCTATCCAGTCCTTTGTATAAGATCAGCTCTACAAAGTGTGCAATTCCTGCAGCCCTTGTTGCCGCTGGTGGCTGTTGGCACCCGCAGAGGTTTGGCTGGACACTTGTTGAGTCCTGCCAGGCTGTGCAGACATCAGGGGTTGTACCTGTGTACCTGGGGCTGCAGGAGGCTCTGCAGTGCCTGGCGAGGTCACAGAACCTCGCTGCTGGAAATTCCATCAAACCAGAGGGGACACGGCCACGCGTTCCTGCTGAGAATCTGCCCCCAAGTGTGTCCTGCTCTCCATGGAAATCCAGCAGGAACCATTTTCTGCACATGTGGGTTTTGTGACATTCAACTAATGTTGTTTGCCAGTGTGGAAAATAGATGGGCCTGTATTATTTGCAGTACCCAGCATTTATCTTCAGGCTAGCCAGTGTTAATTAAAAATACTTACTTTCACTCTGTGGAATATTAATAACACTGTGACTTAGTGCTTGTAAAATGTTTCAAATGTTAAAAATGCATTGAAATAGGAACTAGATATTGCTTTTAGGATCTTCACAAGGGAGCCACATAGCTGGTATTTTTTTATATTTTGTAATATAATATAATACAATATAATATAATATAATATTATGTCATGTGATATGATATGATATTATGTGATGTGATGTGATATTGTATTATACAATATTATATTATATTATATTGTTATGTTATGTTATATTTATTGTATTATATTTGTTATATTATATTATATTTATTATACTATGTTATATTTTACAGGAAAAAAACAGTAGGTGAGTGCAGAATAACTGAAAGGCTCAGTTGTCTGATTTTTAAACTCCAGACCCAGAATAATGTGCATAATTCACATTTCCCTGAATCAGTCACTCTGTACAAGAAGGAACAATTCCAGGATAGGCTTGTTTGAAGTCCAGCAGTCACCAGAAGGATTTCATTGCCAAGCAGATGCAGAGTATTTCACCCCCAGCCATGTGGGTTCCATGGCTGGGGGTGAGCCAGCCGCACTCTGCTGAGTGTGGAGGTGTTGGGGTCAATCCCAGGTGGAGATCTCACGTGTCCCCCGACTGGAAAAGACTGCACACGGTTTAGAAGTTCCTAAGGATTTACCCAAACTGGAGTGTGGGGCTGTTGATGTTTACATTTCTTCAGGGAAGAATGAGAGTCTGCAGTTATGAGGTTACCTGCAGTCTGGGCTGTCCATATTCTCCAGCCTGAAGCTGCATTTACAGTGCATTTGTGGTGGATTTATTTCTTCGGGAAAACATGAGGTGAAGAAGAACTTCATTTATAGTTATATTTGCTTTCTAGACATTGACCATTATGTTAAGGATTTGAGAATAAAGTGTCTTTAACTTGTTCACTGTTCAATATTTTATGCCACTTGCTGCCTGAGGTTATTTAATATTAGCTGCTTCAAAGGTTTAGGTTAGCTTAGAGCCAGTTGTATCATTACTGGCCACCTTTGAAGTTACAGATTACCAGAGAATTCGAAAAATATCCCAATATTTTACAATTATTTTATTTTTGTAGAAAAATAGGCTCTAAATATAAAGCTTTCATAGGATATGCCAGTGCATTTTTGTAGTCTGAAAATGCATAGGCATTAGCTGAGTCATACCCACAGGGTTTTTCCTGGCCCTGTTTACCTAGCAGTTCAGAAGGGATCATTTTGTTGTCAAGGTTGACAAGAGCTTGCAAAGCATAATAGAGGAGTCATTATTTATACTTCAGTTCCTGTGTAAGCCTTGCTACAAGAAATGATGGCGTTGCTGTGGAACAAAAGCGAGTATCCACTTCCAGGAATTCCCTGAAGGTTTTAAGGTGAAGTTCAGACCTTTCTCCAAGACCTGGTTTTGATCATCTGTTCCCTGCAAAGACTGTAGGCAGTTTCAGAGATAAGTCATAGGAGATTTTCTAAATCTCCCTGAAAATGCAAGCTCAATTTTTAAAGCAGTTTTTCCTTTCAGTTGATAGATATGTGATAATAATTTCAAGGCATTTATGACATTGCACATTCAATTTTAATATAAGAGTTCTTTGCTTGCCACCTCTAGTCTGTGTTTGAATATTAAGCTTATTGTCCTGTTCACAGGTTTCTTTAGTAAGGAAATAACTCTGATTGAAGTATGATACATAGATAACGAGCTTATACTCCTGGGTGCCTACTGAGATATTATTATTTTCCTATTAATGTTAATGTTATTTATAAAATGGGACAGTCATGCTCATAATAGAGACTTCCCAGTGTTTGGTAAGTGAAGTCCAAATAGCGTGGTCAGTGTACATAGCTTTTGCTTGGCATTTATGAGAGTCTGGTTCTTTGTGCTGTAAATGTCATGTGTGCTGGCTTTGTGTAAAGCTATTTGTGGTTCTTTCCTTTGGACCAGGGCACTCCAAGGTAGGGAGCAATGATTGCTTGCTTTAGGCAAACAAAGTTCACCAGGCATTTTGGATTCTCATGTAGTTTCTGTACTAACAGGAAGAAAACCAAATTCAAACCAGCTAGTAGGCACAGGAGTATTATGGTAAAATTGTAGGGAACAAAGGCTGGGCAGTCCAGTGGAGTGTGAAGTACACCTTTCAAATAGGTAACGATGATAGAAGCACTTTCCTTCTAGATGGAAATAAAAAAATAAAATTGTTTAGAAAGTAAAGCTGATTCTCTTCAGACCTCTCAAGTATCTCAAGAACTCAACCTACTAGATGCTGAGGATGAATGTGCTGTGGGATGAAGAGATTGCCATTTCATGGATAGTGTTTGCATTGCAACATCTTGGACATTTTGAAACTCGCCCATTCTGTTTTACAGAAGGAAAATAAGGAACACTGCAGACAAAAGCATAACCCAACTGCATTGTGGGCACCTGAATTTATACACTGTTTATAGAGAGAGAACATTATTTTTCACTTGAATAGGGTATTAATGGATTGCCATAAATATTGTCGTTGTTATTGTTACTACTATTATTAATCATCATCATCACTATCATCACTATCATCATAATTCTGTTCATGTTGTTGATTACCCTGGGAGTATTACAGCAATTCAGAAGTTAAGAAGTGTTTATTTTGTTCCTGTATACTGCTTCTAAAGCATATGTTTTGATTCAGCAAATTATGCTTAACATCACAAATTGGCATTCTGTGAATAGTGTGCTACTGGCTCTTGAAATGTATGAAAAATACTATGAATGTTGGAAAAATCCTTCGGCATGTCCGATTTCCCAAATGCTCTGATGCGCTGGGGACACACAGAATGTGCTTGCTGGGGGATCCCAGGCAGGCAGTGACTGTTTTCTGTCCTGTTGGTTGCAGGCTGACAAGGCAGAGAGAAGCGATGCCTTGAACGTGGCCATAGAAGGGATGTGCAAGAGGACCAGAGACCTCCGCAGGCAGGTGAGCACCTGGGCCAGTGAAAGGTGGGAAAAGGCCTTCAGGGAGTCTTCTCCAATGTGCTATTTTCAGTTTATGCATTTTGAAAATATATTTTTTTCCCCCAAAATAAAATGTATTGAAGACAACTACACCATTCCACAGAATATTTACATACCAGTTTTTAAAACTCTGAGAAAACCCTGCCAAATGATACTGAATATATATCTGTATGTATACATGTTTAAATACATTTGCTGTAGATATCTATCAGTAATGTACTCTGGCCATCAAGATATATTTAATTTTCAATAATCTTGACAGACACCTTGAAGGAACTACTGAATCACTATGGGTGGGTCTTTATGGTTGTGACCTCTCACCACACAAGAGGGTCCTTGGAACACCCAGTCCACAGTCTGCCCCCCATTTTACATCCCAGTGTCCTAAAACTAATGTGAAACATGGACCAGGATCCACACCTTCAGTGAAGGGAAGAAGGTTAGCAGTAGGCATCAGCTGTGTTCACGCCCTTTCTCTGCAATAAATATCTTGGGGAAAAACTGTGAATTATGCTGGAAGTGTATAATGTGCCTTTTCAGAAAGAAGACACTTGGAAAGTCAGTAGTGCTCTCAGCCAGGCTGCCCCAACCAAGTGCATGAAAATTTACAGCTGCACAGAACAAGAGCACACCTCTTTCATCCTGTCTGCAGCTCAAACTGTTTATCAGCTCCCTGGTGGAAGACTATCCCTCCCAACTTCACATTTAGTCTTGCAAGCCAGCCTGTGCTTCAAGATGAGGAATAAATTCCCTCCTGCTCCCATAATCAGTCAGGGGAAGCCTTGAAAAATGAGAATATCATATAAATACAGTATTTTCAAATAAGTAGCTATTTGGTTTCTGCTTAGATTCTGTCCAAAATGTGTTCAGTGCAGAGCCCTGCATCACCAGCTCAGTGTATCTAGGAACCCTTCCATTCATTTCCTTCCAAGAGTTAATTAAACTCTAGCTTAAAACACTTTATTGACTCTATTACAGTGGTTAAAAGCTGTTCACTAATTCAATTTGTGTCTTTCTGTAAACCTTTGGAAAACGTTCAGGCTGGATGTAATCATGCCCAATTTATAGTCAATCTAGAACCAGTAATTTTCTCTTACCAGAACAGCTCTGCACTTCTTGACATTTTTTCCACTGGAAAGCATTTATGAGAAATATTTTACCTATTTCCTCCAATTCTATATTCATACATATGAATTGCATAAGAATTGTTTCAGGAGGAGTGCTTACTGCATGCCTAATTCCTGATCTGGGAGACAAGAAATAGTGAATTTGTGCATGCAGATACTGCACCAGTCTTATTTGCTTTCACTTACAAACATTTGTTATTCTGTCTCCTAGCAATTTTACAAGAAACACGAAAATTGTTGTTTGCTCTACTCTACAGCTTTTATGATACTTTATTTTTTAGTATACTCTGTACCTGTGCTGGTGTTGCATCAGGTGCTCTCAGTGGATTCAGGGTTGTGGTGTGCAGTGTGCTCTGCTTTCAGGCATGACTGGGACTCTGCAAAACTGGCCTTAAAGATGAAACCTTATAAAGCTGTATTTTTAAAATCTCTTCAGTAGTAGCCAACAAAGCAAACCACCAGAGAGGTGCTGTCCCAGTCAGCTGCTGCCCTGGGCCCCTCTGGAGCACCTCTGCACCCCACAGCGAGGGGATAGAAGGGAGGCTTGTGTCTGGCAAGACTGAAGGCAGCAGTAGCTGTCCCCACAACAGGCAGCTATCAAAACTCTCAGGCTTTTCAAGGGAAGTTATTTGCATTCATTTCAGGAGCTTGGCCAGCACTTCCACGGATTTTAAACTGATCTTTGTTTTGATTTTAACTTGTATTGTGCTGGAGATGTTCGTGTCATTTCTGTGTGTGCAGTTTTACCTGGATCACTGCTTCCCTGCCGAGGAGAGCTGCACAAACAGCCAGGAAGGAATTGCATATTCCTTCCAATTTGTAATTATGTGAAATTACCATACTCAGTTCTTGCCTCCCAGTTCCTTCCCAGCGTAGCATGAATGGACTGCACAGATGTTTCTCCTGTGGTTGTTCTGCAGTTCTGGCTGGTTGGTTGTTTTAATAAATGTTATTCCTGGTGATATTCTTATGTTTTTATGTAATTTCTTCATCATGGGTAGCTGTTTCTGGACACAGAAGAGATGGCCTTGCTGGCTCTGCTTCAAAACGGGAAAGGGAGATCCCTCAGGAAAAACTGCTCTGAGGTTTGTGCAGGACTTTTGCCAGGGTCATCTAGTAAGGCAAGAGGCAAGTGGAGGCAAACAGAGTTTTCTGTGCTCATCAGTACTGATGTTGAATAGTGTTGCAAACAGCTGCTGGCATTTTTTTCTCTACCCTCCACTGTTTTTGACAACCTTATGGCCCATGTTTTATAAACAACATGTTCCGGTGGTTTTCTTATAATGCATTTTGATATCAAAACAAAAATTCTCCATGCTTCTCTAACAGTGTGCTCAAAGGGTAAGACCTTGCATCTTAAGAAGAAAACAATCTGTCAGACATCCTCCTCCCCCTCCTCTCCCTCTTCTGATGGTGTCTCTTTCACTTAAAAATACGAGAAGAAGTTTAATTATAGCACAACTTTCCTAGGATTGTGTGCTGGCACTACTGGTGCTGTCCTTTGCTCCTATGCCTCCCTCCTGGCTACTCAGCTTTTAGCATTTGGCCCTACAAGTGGCCAGAGTCAGAAACAGACTTACCAAGTCATGGGAGAAATGCTTGTTAGGATTAGCATGAGAAGAAATAGATATTGCCTCAGATACTCCTTTTTTCTTTCGTCTTTTCCTTCTTTTTCTATGTTGTATTTCTTTGTTCTTTAATGCTACACAAGGCATCCTTTGCAATGCTCAGCTTCACGTATTCCTTTGCAGAGCTGCAACAGGAACATAATTTCAGACTTGTTTGTGTTCAGCAAAGACACAGCATTATCTCTGTTTTTTTGAAGAAGTGATTTTGCTGCATAATTGCAGGGTAGAGCATTTCTTAGAACGAAATAGTAATGATAATTTCTGTGTGAGAGGTTAATTAAGCCAAGAAAACCAGTGAAAAGCTATAGCAAAGAATTATGTAATGAGAGATAAAATGAGGCTGCTGGTTTGAAATTGGGTACCTGAAGCTCACCACAAATGTGCCTGAGGTTATTGTAGTGACACTGTGCTAAGGCTGTGGAAGAACTCCAGAATATTTCTGTTGGAGATAACGAATCATTTGCCATAGGTATGACGGTTCCACAAGTTTTTGTTGTTGTTTTTTGTAAATGGCAATCTTAATTTTTAAACTGTGACTCTTCAAGGTCACATTCATGTACCTAATTTTAAACAGGCAAGAATATCTGTTTTCTTTAGTGGAGCCTTTACAACAGAGAAATCTTAGCAGGTAACTTGGCAGGACTAGAGGTTCAATGTATTTTATTTCTGGTAGTGAAACTTTCTAATAACATTTTTTTTTATTTTTTTTTAAATTCTAGCCTGAATAAAGCTGAGAATGTAAGAAATCAAATTTTGTATTGGAATCCAACAGCCTCTGTCTTTGTAAATGACTTTGCAAACATGCAGTGTATCCAGACAGTGTATCCTAATGTGGTAGGCTGCAGTAGGTTAGGAGACAAAGAAACCATTCCAAACATAAATTGCCTGTGTTTGTCTGTCCCTCTGGTGAGTCAAGGAGAGCTGACTTGAGGTGCTGAGGCTATCTGAAAGCCAGTGGTGGAATTCATATCCAGATCTTGTCTGAGAATCAGCAGATTTCTCCACTACCCTTTCTGCTGTGCATGGTCACTGCCCTACCTGCAGACACAGCAGCATCAAAAAGATTGTGTTTTTTTTCTATTTTTCTCCTGGTAGGAGCCTTTACTTCTACTGATTTTTCACACAGATACCTTGGAATAAAACACCAAGTGGAAATGGTGCTTTGGCAACAGCGTGATGAGCTGAGAAACATTAACATCCTTCCCCGTTCCAATCAATATCTTCTCTATATACTGCAAAAATACTGGACTGGGAGTAGGAAATTCAGTGCATTTAATAATGAATTGCACTTCATCTATTGTTCCAGTTGGTATGTTTGTTGTAGTGCTGCATGATCTAAATGAGCAGCTGTCATGTGTAGGGAACATGCAAAATAACCTTTTAAGTGAAGTAACGTCCCAGTGATTGGTTACAAGCTTCTCTGAAGCCGAATTTCAGACAGGTAATTTATAGCAGAATGTTATACTTCTTTAATAATTTAAGTTAGAAGTTCAAGAACAGTTAATTTAAGCAGAGAAAATTGAACTCCAGCCTCATTTATAGATCTTCTTGCTCTATTAATACATTATCAGGTGGCACAATCAGTAATCTCCTTGACATAATTACCACGAAGGCTGCCATTCTGCAAACCAGACCGTGTCACTGGGTTTCCCAGAAAGAAACACTTGGGTAGTTTTGCAATTATGAAGTCATGGGATGTAGCTATTTTGTGAGTACAAACATGATTGAATTAATATTTTCTTTGTAAGATTAAATGGCCTTCTCCCTTGGCATCTGAATTACAAGGGAGAATACCCAGGAGATACGAGGTCTGGGCTAACTAATTTTTCACATGTAAAATCACTTAAGTAGCCTATTCATCGAGGAGGAGGAATATTTGTTTGGCTCCCTGGATTTCAAGAGAACCAGTACATGTTGTAGTGTTTTACCTATCTGTACAAACACTTACAAACAGGCATATTTACCTAGTGGCATATTAAAGTTGTCCTTCAAATGAAATATATTTCTCTGTGTAACACAGAACTTGTAGCTGCCACAGGTCTCAGACCTACGTTGCCAATAACGCAGGAGTACAGCGTGTAGGTGTTGATGTTAGAAATAGGGATGGACAATAATTACAGCAGACTTTAACGAATAATCCAGTTAGCAGGTACTGATGTACTGCTTTCTTCTGCAGCTCCGGAAAGCCATCATAGATCACATCTCAGACTCCTTCCTAGACACCACCGTTCCACTGCTCGTTCTCATTGAAGCTGCTAAAAATGGAAGAGAGAAAGAAATAAAGGAATATGCTGCTATATTTCGAGAACATACCAGCAGGCTTGTGGAGGTATGTTTGATGGAATTGCACTTTTTCTGGAATATGTGGTGTGAGTGGCTTGCCACTGAACACTCCCTTTGCTGGCAGCTATCAAAAAATGTTCAAGGCTGTCATTTCAGGAAGGAATAAATAAGTGGCCTTGGGTAATAGTGAATGTACTCCATTTTCCTGTAATGGTATGTAGTAGAACACAGGGCTTTGTGCTTGTGTAGCATTTCACTGCATAGAAATTAGATGGTGTGGAATTAGAATTTGAGAAATCGGTGTAAGCCTTTCCACCAAGGTGTTCTGTGGGAGCTTGACTAAATGTGTGTTTCTGGGAGTATTAGCTCACAGCACTCAGGAGCTGCTGCCCAGAGTTCAGGAGACACTGTGTTAGTGCTGTTTGCCAGCTGGGAAAGTCTGTGAGCTGTGCAGGGATGTGCTGGAGGGGAAGTGGGGCTCTGACCCAGCTCAGAGCCAGGAGCCCGCTGCCAGGGTCACTGCGTATTCCCAGGTGGAAATATGGATCCAGGTGACCCACAGATCACTGAGCCCAGCTCCTGCCTGCGTGCTAAATGAATCCCTGCTTACACTGGAGACTCAGTGCTCATTTCTAAGGGCTCTACTTCCTCATGGCTTATAAATGACTCTTCTTCAGCACTAAGAGATCTGCAAACACGGCTGGGGGAGATTTTGGTTTGTTGGACAATCAGTCCTGCAAACGTGACTAAATATGCACTGACCCAAACTCATTTCAGCTGCAGCTTGCAACACTGCTGGCATACTAAAGTCAAAAATTCACAGCAATATTATCTCAAGTGCCTGGAAGGAATGCATAAGTAATTTTTGTGGGGTTTTTTAGCTTCTGGTGCTTTTGTGTGCAGTAATGCAAAAATGGGGGAAAAAATCAATGAATTCACTCTGCAGCTGAAAATTTACTTAGGAAAACTATTTGGGTCAGAATTAGTAATTCACCTTGAGTGATCTAGAGAAAATGAAAGAAAAATAGGTAAAGAGCTAAAGTAAAAGTAAGGTATTGCATTTATGTTTCTCTTCGTGGTCACATGATTACACAATAAGAACAGTTGTTATTCTTTGATTCACAAGAGTATCTGATTTTGACCATGCTGCAAAATCAAGCTGAAACTCCAAGTTCCAAGCTTTTCTGATTTTTAATACTGAAGCTAAACCATCCTGAAGTGACTTAAGAGGAGGTACTCACTGAAGATCAAGTGACCTGATTGAATTTCTGAGTCAAGCTGAAATACCCAAATCATTACTCATTTTAGAAGACATAACCCTAAAATCCAGCATTGGTTTCCTTTCATGGGTTTGAATTTGTGTCCCAAATGCAAGGAGTAGCTGGCCAGGAGTGTGGGTGTGTGATTAGAGACTGATGGCTGCACAGATTCACTGCCTGCAAAGTCCAGACTGATCTTGCTGTATGTGTGAACACACAGTGAGTGTGTGTACATATTTATATTTATGCTGTGACTCAGAGTGCTGCCTACGGTGCAGAAAACTTACTTCTAAGGAGAGACTGCACACAGTCTCCTTTTGTTGAATTACACAACTCCTATTGTTGTATTAGTTGTTCCAAATGTCCCTTTACTGGGGATTATATCGTGGGCTGCTATTGAAAATTAACTTCAATTTTACTTTATGTTATCTTTGGGATATCTAGTAGAACTAAGTATCTCATTTAAAAGTTGCTTACATTGGTTTAATGCCCTTACCAGTATCTCTAAGCAAGAGTTTGATTGATGGCTTTTTGATAAACTGTATTTATCAACTGCTAAACTCTCCAGCAAATTAATTAGGTGATAGTTGTACTGCATCCATCAACAGTGAGCCTATCTGAGGTAAAACAGAACAAAAATGAAAAAAGCATTAACAGCTAAGCAAGTGGCCACAAAGGGGCTTTGTGGAGATAAACAGATTTATCTAATTTTTAAGAAAAATCCAGTCATTTCCAACAGCACCATGTAAGAGAGAGAAGCACAGCAGCTGTTTTGGGGAATGTTTAATACCAGTTAAATTTATGTAAATGTAATAGCTTTTAAATAGATTAGAGCAGTTGCTACAGCAGTTCCAACTGGAAGCATATTTGGATTTTAGTGGCCTAAACCATGTTAAGATGAGAATATATGTATTTTTCAACTGATGTAGTGGAGCACTGCACTCTTGCTTTTATTTCTCAAGGAAAATAGTATAGACAGACTTGGATCTGACTAGTTGTGGTTTTCAGAAACGTTTGTACTTAAACATACACATGCTTCAGAACTGAGATGTGGCAAATATGCTTGGAGCTTGGTTTCCAGCTGAACACGGGGCCATGGATAGTGCCTGTGCTGCAGGAATCAGGTCTGGCTAAAAGTGCTACTCAAAGCAGGGAGCCTGATTCTGCCAGAAGGGCAGGACAGATCAAAAGGAAAAGAGCTGCCTTTGGATCCTTGCTATTTCTATTACCCCTTTATTTATCCCAGAATTTATGTTTCCTGCTGAAAATTCTGATGTATAAGCACCACTTGTCCCCTTTGGGACAGGAGCCCAGCCTTTAGCCAGGGAAGCGTTCCACAGTGTGGTGTTGGCTGTTCTCTGTAAGATCTGGAGTAGGATGGCAGGTTAATTGGAGATCCAATCCAGTATGAAATTCCTGTAACTTAGGAGCAAGTTGCCAGGCATTACTGTATTTTATTAGGGGGTTCTTAAATGGCAGGTACAGTATGTGTGTCTGCAGGGGAGGCCTCACATTCCTTCCTTTGGTGTTGATTTCCTGCACTGATACAAGAGCCAACAAATTCCCTTACAGCACAGAGGTCATGGAATACAACTCCAAAGGCCAGTCACGTGTGCCATTGCAGAAATGGGCTTCATCTCTGCTCCTGAAAATAATCTAAGTATTGAAGTGCCGGATCATGGGTGCCATGTACCTGCCTATGGAATACTAAGAGACAGTAGGTATACTTAAAATATTTTAAAAGCTAAACTGCTGAGAAAAACGTTGCAAAGAAAGGTACAGAACAGCAAGTGTACCAGGGAAGGCTGATGGTGAGGGAGATGAGACATCAGGCTTTTGAAATACAACTGTGAAAACAGTTTTACCATCTAGGTGTGTTTGTGACATCCAGGGAATTGGGTGGTTTGTGGGAACCAGTTGATAGAGCAAAGGCCAGTGATGCGAGCGAGACTGCCCATATTGTTAAATACACAATTTAAAAAGGGTGGCTTTTCTTTTTTCAGCTGCAAGTAGCCTTTGTGGGGCATTTGACACAGCGGAGCTGTTGTAACCTTTGAGAGGTGAAAACCACCTCAGATGCTGGCAATCCCTAGATTTTGTCTAGGGGAACAAAAGCTAAGGAAAAACCTCATTTGCATTCTGAGTGTGCTTTGTTTCTGACTGTAAAGCACTCCAGGTGTGAGTCTGAGCCCACTGTCAACTTTGATATCTCAGCATCCTGTGGTAAAGAGTTCCACACCCTGACTGTGCATTGTGTAGAGGAGTGTCTGTGATACATGATCTTTTCTTTTGCTGTCTCTGAATTTCTGGTATCAGAAGAGAAAATGAACACCAGTCCCTATTTTCCTTCTCCATGCCACTTACTCTTTCATTTCTTTTTATTGTTTTCAAAGCATTTCTGCTCTTTTAAAAATTTCCTTCTTTGGAAGCCACAAAAGGATCAGTTTGCTCCCTTCCCTGTACCTTTTTCAGCAGCTTGCAGCCCATGAGGTGGGAGGGCAGAACTGTGTGTGCTAATCCACACAGTCCAGATATTTCATAGAATCACAGAAACTTGGTTCTTTCCTCACAAAATGACTCACTTTTAATCCCTCTAGACCGCATTTCATCCCTGTTACCATTTAGTCATCTAGCACCATGACACCCTTTTGCAAATCTTCATTAGTTATTTTATTTACTGCTCCAAATAACTTGTTAAAATATGTGTAAACAAAATCTATAACAAGTTAATGCAGACACCACGACCACAAGGAAATTCCTGGCTCACAGCTTTTTCCCAGTTTCCTGTTGATTTGTTCCTGAGGCTGAAACAAGTGAAGCTAATCTGTCTGAATCACCTGGGAATTTACTGATTACTCAGGCACCCTAATTCTTGGAGGAGTCTGGCATCCACATGCCTGGATCTCATACACGGTACAATCAGTAGTCCAGACCTTTAATTCCTCCACTGCCTTCATGTATGAAAACTGGGGTGTCCATTCCTGCTTAACATTGCTCTTCTAAAAGATATTTATGGCATAAGGAAGATTTATGACTATTTCCTTTTCATTTTATAAAGGTAACTAGTTGCACTTGAAGATACATGCTGTGAAATCACCTGTGTAATGAATGCTGAAGTTTAATTCTCTCCAAATTAAGGAAAAAGTGTTTTCTTTTAAAAAAAAGTAGGTTTTCCTGAATCCAATCATGAGTTCAAGTTCAGTGATTCTGCTGTACTAAAAAGCAGTGTCTCAGCTCTGTCCTGTCAGTGTTCCAGCAGAACACATTCCACACACTTGTCAGGCTTCAGGTTGAGCTGGGCTGATGATGATAGTGTTGCACCAAAGTTGAATTTGATAATAGTAATTTGAAAGTGAAGGCAGAACAACATGTCAAAAGAGATGATACTGCATTCCCAATATAGTGAGCAATAATTTGAATCAGCACAGTGCTATTGCCTACTCTCATAGATCCTTTGTCAATGTTGTTCTATGGCTCAGTTGTAAATATGCTGTTGTTGCCATATTGATTAAACCATCAGCATTTAATTTTCCTGTCACAGTATTTCATTTGACTGCAGAAATGTAAATGCAGAAATAAGTTTCTGAATCTGGACCACAAAGACCAGTGTATTTGTGTAGCCAGATCTCCAGCCACATAAGAATGGATTTTATTATTGCAGCCAGCAAGTTCAGTGGTGATAGTAATAAAATGGTTTTGATGTTACAGGACTAGGCTCTAAGTCCATTTTTAAGTAAAACAAGCCATTGATATTTGTGTTATTTCCAGTTTAAGCTTTTCCTTATGT